GTGGGGTTGGTGTGGTTGTGTTAGGATCGCAGGCCAGTGGGCTTTGCCTAGACAGGTGTAGCAGAGGCAAAGCCTGCAGTCCGTCCATTCCTCAGCACCATGAATATGGCCCCTATCCTGGGGGCATGTGAGAGAGTCTGGCCTCCCTTGTTGGTGGATCTATGGTAGCTAGTGCAAGAGTGCTCAGGAGTCCAAGGCCCTTGGGCATCCTTATGTGCCTGAGTGGCAACTCTGCCCACCCGGAAAACTCCAGGCAGCCTGTGTCAGTCTGGAGGCCTTGGGAATAGAGGGTCTGTGGGGGTCTCCTGTGTCCAGGATTGCAAAGGTTCATGGCATAAGTGTGAGCCTCTGGGGGCTTTTGCTGACTTACCATTTCCCTGTGGTGGGGAACCCCCCTTGTCTTCCTGCCAGTCCTGGGTGGGCAGCTGTCCTGTCTTGCACTTCTCTGCTCTCTGTGCGTCATGGTGCTCCCTTGATGAATTCCAACATGTCTTCCTGGATGATTCAGTGGAAGAGCTTGTGTTTACTGGCTAACTGTGTATCTTCTCCTTGAGAGCAGCATACACTGGCTGCTTCTAATCTGCCATCTTGATACCTCCCCAAACAAAAATTCTTAATAACAAGAGCTAACGAAATACAAAATCAGTAGAAGAAAAGAAATAATAATGATCAGAGCAGAAATAAATGAAATTGAAATGAAGAAAATAATACAAAAGATCAATGAAACAAAAAGTTGGTTGTTTTAAAAGATGAAATTTACAAACCTTTAGCTAGACTAACAAAACAAAAGAGAGAAAACACCCAAATAAATAAAATAATAGATGAAAAAGACATTCAGCCAATACTGCAAAAATTCAAAGGATCATTAGTGGCTACTATGATCAACTATATGCCAATAAATTGGAAAATCTAGAAGAAATGGATAAATTCCCAGACACACGCAACCTACCAACATTGAACCATGAAGAAATCCAAAATCTGAGCAGGCAAATAACAGTGAGATGGAAGACGTAGTAAAAATCTCCCCAGAAGGAGAAGCCTGGGACTTGATGGCTTCACTGCTGGATTTTACCAAATATTTAAAGAAGAAATACCAGTTCTACTGAAACTCTTCTGACAAATAGAGAAGAGGGGAATACTTCCAAACTCATTCTACAAGGCTAATATTACCCTGATATTAAAACACATCAAACAAGAAAACTGTAGACCAGTATCTCTGATGAATATTGATGCAAAAATCTTCAAAAATACCAGCAAACCAAATTCCAAAACACATTAAAAAGATCTTTCATGATGACCAAGTAGGATTTATCCCAGAGATGCAAGGACGGTTCAGCATATACAAATCAGTCAGTGTGCTACATCATATCAACAGAATGAAGGATCAAAATCGTATAATCATTTCAATTGATGCTGAAAAAGCATTTAATAAAATTCAACATCAGTTCATGATAAAAAACCTTCAAAAAACTTGCTATCACAGGAAGCTCACCCTGCATTTTTCCCTGGAGGAATGGTTCAGTATTCTGTAAATCAGTATTCACAGCTACTTTATAGAATATAACTGCTGGAAATAACAAGAATCAGCTCTATTTTTATTGCAGGAACAGTTGGAGAGGGTGAGTCTTATGGGTAAGTTACCTCATACCCATCTTTTAGCCCTGCTGTTTGTAAATTTCCATGTGAGAGAATTCTGTTTTAGGACCTGTTATCTTTTGTAGAGAGCCAGTTTTCTATCTCTCATTGATTTTAAATAAGTTGTAATTTTGACTTGAGTTATTATTTTGAGTTAAAAATAGTTTTAAGTCAAGGTCTTTCCTCTTGTGAAAACTCGATTATCTCTGCTCAATTTTAATGCTGTTTGATTAATGACAGCCTCATGAGGCTGTAAGTTTTTTAATAGCACCCCAAACTCTGATAACTTTTTGAATATCTTATTTGGTTTTCTAAATTGGAGGCTGGCACATTTTTTTTTGTAAATGGCCTCATGGTAAATGTTTTAGGCTTTGCAGGATGCATGAGATCTCTTGTCACATATTCTTGTTTTTACATATCTTTAAATATGTTTTTTAAAAACATTTTTAGCTTAGCGTCCAGGCCAGATTTAGCCCAGAATTGTAGCTTGCCAATCTTCGTTCAAACATTTTCAATGTGCTGTACCATTAGCTTTCCCTCTTTAAGACAGTGACATGTACTTCACCAGTATAACAGACTTGCAGATGCCCTAGTGTGCCAGTCTTCCTGATTTCTTTTGACAAAATTTGCGACCTTTTTTATTTGGAGGTAATAAATATGTTGAATAGATTTTATTGTTCTCACTGTTCTCACTAGAGCCTGATTAGCATGAAATACATGTGAAAAGAAAAATAAGGAATAAGCACGGCCACTTAATTTTTTTATTCAGCAAACAGAAGGAATGGGAAACTAAACTTAATTGCCTATGTACCAAATGTAAGCCGTTTTAATATAACTCCTTATTTAATCCTTGTGATAATCAACAGGATGGCATACACATTTTTTCAGATATCTAACCTAATAGTACTTAGTTAACCTAATTAAGAAATCACTGTCCACTGGAAATTTCTGCAATGATGAACTTGTTTTATATCTGTGGTCTACATTATGGCTATTGAGCACTTGAAATGAGACTAATGCAACTGAAGTTTTTATTTATTAATAATTTTAATTTCAATTTAAATGACCACATGTGGCTAGTAGTTACCATACTGGGCAGCATAACTTGAAGAACTTCAATAATTAATTTGTTCAAGTTTAGACAGTAAGTTCTGTTTAACTCCTAAGCTTATATATATATATATATAATTTTTTTTTTTTTTTTGAGACAGAGTTTTGCTCTTGTTGCCCAGGCTGGAGTGCAGTGGTGCTATTTCGGCTCACTGTAACTTCTGCCTCCTGGGTTCAAGCGATTCTCCTGCCTCAGCCTCCCAAGTAGCTGGGATTACAGGCATGCACCACCATACTCAGCTAATTTTGTATTTTTAGTAGAGACAAGGTATCACCATGTTGGTCATTCTGGTCTCAAACTCCTGACCTCAGGTGATCCACCAGCCTCGGCCTCTCAAAGTGCTGGGATTACAGGCATGAGCCACCACTCCCGACCCTAAGCTCATATTTTTTTTCGGTTGTGCCATACTGCCTCCTCAATAAAAGTCAAGGAATCTATGAAGACAGTAGGAAAGAATGGTAACTGTAAGGTAACTTATTACCTTACAGAGTAAAAAATGTGGAGAAAGTACTTAGGCAATGTTCAAGGTATATTAACTTTTAGGCTATGAGCTCAATGAGTAAATCCATAATCTGGAATACTAACTAGATCATAATTATCAAGCAATACCTATGAAATTATTTTATAGTCTACATATTATTATTGCATTATATGAAGTAACGTGAGTATACTCTGTGATCATTAGTGTGTTGAAAAAATTCAGATATTAACATACTTTGAAAGTATTTGTCTTATACCCAGGGAGTAGTCTCTTAGGAAGAAGTAAAGTCTAGTCAGGTATTTCAAAAAAAGCTTTTAAATGTTATAAAATTTTACATCCTTCCTGTAGTATAGAGCTTTTATTAACAAAATTTCCCTGGTTCATGGGGACCATACTTGCATCAGTTTTAATATACATTTAAATTATACCTGACATAAATATGGTGTGGAAATCTTGTTATTTCATTAATGAATACCAACTGGGTATAAGAAATAAAAAAAGTGATGTCTTTAAGGGAAGCATGCATAGATAAATAATTCTGTGATACTGTTTCCTGTACTAGAAGGAGGCATGGGGGAGAAGAATAAACAAAACTTATCTTCTTAGTGTTGACTCTTAATTTTACCCTGTATTTTTACAGCCCCAATCTAAATCAGAGTCCTGCCCAGTTTAAACAGGAAATTACTTAACTGATTGATGCCTGAGTAGCTTCCCTTGCTCTTCTCAGAAAATATTAAAAACAGTGTCAGAAATGAAGTATAGGCACTATCACTGTCATTGGAGAACATTTAGAATCCTTTAGCCAATGATTCTTCCAGGTGTTGCACAGTTTTATTTGTATGTAAAACAAGGAGACCGCTTCCCTCATGATGTCCTTTGTCAAAATTCAGGAAGCTTCTTTCCCATCTAAAGAATCAGAGTGTTAAAATATTTGTACCTTGGAAAGCTTTACACTTGGCCTTGCTGAATGGATAATCTTTCGAAATTATTTTGGTACCTGAATAACACTAGAACACTTTATTCTTAGAGTCAGTACTTTTCCTGCATTCTTAATTCAAATCAAGTTATAGCTAAAACAAAGATCACTTTTTGCTTTAGGTTTAGCATGAAACAGGTAAAACGGAATGCATTGGGAAAATTGGGGCAAAGGATTTATAATAGAAATAATTCATTTTTATGGATAATGTTATTATAAATTGTATTTCAAGATGCAGCCTGCATCACTCAGTACTCCAGACCACTCTTATCCTTTACATTCTCCAGAGCATTTATCAACTTGTAATATAACATATAGTTTATTGTGTTTATTGCCTGTCTCTTCTCTACTAGAATGTCATTTGTATGAGAGCAGGAATCTTTGTTTTGTTCACTGATATATTCTAAGCACTAAAACCAGAGTCTGGCACATAGTAGGTGTTCAACTGATGTTTGTAGACTGAATGAATACCAAGACCAATCCCACTCCATCCCTCAGATTTTAGTAATTATTACATTGCTATATTATTATGTAATAATATTCCAGATAAATATTATATTGCTATATTCCTTATGAAGTAGTTAACAAACAGGTAAAAATAGTACTCTGCCATCCAGTATGAGAAGATAATTTTATGAACTGTGTCTTAAAAATGTATGAAGTAATTTGGAGTGTTTGAATATTTAATATATTACAGTGAAACCAATAGATTACCTGAGATTCTTCCAGAATTTATTAGGAAATGGAAGATGGAAAGCTTTTCAACTAAAAAGGTGTTTTTGATATATCTTTCTCAGATGGGAAAACTGACAACCATGCCTGCAGGTCTGATATATGCATCTGTAAGTGTACATGCAGTCAAAGAAGAGGAATCCAAAAAGCAGCTAGTGAAACCAGAGCAGGTAATTTGCCTACAAAGGTTTATGAACTTTGTATAATATCAAGATAACACAAAAGCTATATTTTTTAAAATTATCTTTACTCATCAAAAATGTCTTAGAAGTCTTTGTTAGGTAGGTTTTAAAAGTTGAGAGAAATAGTTATGAAGTATCTCAAAAGACAATATGTAACTCAAACATCTAAAATTCTAACTCCAATGAAAAACAACTGGTGGTTTTTCTTAATGAATAATCAATAAGTAGTAGAGGGTGTTAGACGTTCTAGGCAGTCTGATTTTTCTTTCTTGAAAAACGTATACAGGTACATTCAGTATTAGGAAACTTCAGTTTAAGAGATTCATTAAGGTCTCAGTTTTGGAAGTGACCTTAGATGTTTTCTAGATCAACCTTCTGTATGGTACTGTAATTCCCTCTATAGCAGGCACATTTAGTGGCCATATATCTTCTACGTGAATAAAACTCTAGATAAAGGAGTCTAAGGAGCCCATTCCATTTTCTAAATCCTCTCATTTAATTTAAGGTCCTTTCCTTATGTCAGACAGAAATTAGTCTCATAATCACTTCTACCTGTTGGTACTGTATCTCTTGCATTGGTGCCAAACAGAAAACTTCTCTCTTTCAAAAAACAAGCCTTTAAATATCAGTTATACTTTAAGTAATTTTGCTTCCAGGATAAACATTTTAAAGCATTTAGTTGCTTCAACTATTTCTCATACATCACAGTTCTGAGTTCCTCACTATCATGATCAGCCTCTGCCAAGCATGTTCAGGATAGTTAGTGTTTTCTTCAGGTGTAAGTACTTTGTTTTTGTTTTTAAAAAGCACTTTGGTTTTTGGTGCCATGACTTGGATGTATGAACCAAGGTGTTTTGACTGCTACAGGACAGAGTCAGTCTCTGACTTCTCCTCTTCTAGATGTTACATTTCTATTAATGCTGCCTAATATCGTGTTAGTTTTTATGTTTGAGTGCTCAAAATCAACCATGCTCATAAGCAGCCTTTGACCGTGATACAGTAAGCATGTGGTTCTCTAAAATTCATTAAGCCTTTTTACATGGACTACCAGTAAGGTATGCCTCATCCCAGTCTGTACTTAGGCATTTGAACTTTTTGGACTCGTTGAAGGTATATTTATACCTGTTTAAATTTTACCTTGTTGATCTGGCTTATCATGCCAGCCTGTTGAGCTGTAAGTGTGGTTACTAATTCTATTCATCATTGTGCTTTTTATCTCTTCCCACTTTAAGTCATCCCTAAGGCTTATCTACACATTTAATAATATGTTTTTGAATCAGGCCTGAATTTGAATCCTGCTTCCATGACTGACTAGTTAGATGACATTGGGCAGAACTCTTAATGGTGTCATAAGTATTCTGTTGTATGAATGTACTACCATCAAATAAATGTAAACTTTTCATAAATTTTTGGAAATGTAGACTATTTCCAGCTATTGCTATTGTATTCAGTACTTGTTGAACCACTTTGTATTGAATCTATATATACGTCTATAACCATTTCCTTAGAATGAATTTCTAGAAGCAGAAGTGTAGGTCAAAAGGCACAAAAAATTGATAATATTGCCAAACTAACATGCATAAATATTCCAATAGTTTGGAATATTATTGCCAAACTAATATTCATAAATTCAACCAAAAATATTTTCTAAGCTCCTCTCTATATATTTGTGAGGCACTGTTCTAATTACTAAAGTTTATTTTCATTAATGGTCTAGGGTAGAGTCATTTTCCTACCCGCTAACTGATTCTAAGTATTTTTTTAATTTTTTCTTTTTATTAATCTTAGGAGGATGTTGATTTTAAGGCTTCCTTGACACTCCCATATCTGGACAGCTCAAATCTAGGTAGGAAGATAAATCCCTAATGACTGAATTTAATTTTTGAAATTTTAAAATAAAGTAGTGCTGTTTATTATGGAATACACAGTATTCCTTGGTATTTATTGTATTCCCCAAGTACATTTTAAATATCATTTAATTGAATTACTCATTAAACAAAGCTGGTTGCCAACTACGTGCTAGGGACTATATACAAAGTCAGGATCCAATCCTTGAGGACTGTAGAATTTCTGAAGGGATTAAAATGTGATTTATGTGCAACATTTCTAGCTACTTTTATTGTGTAAAGTGAGCTATACTTCCGTTTAAATCTATAATAATGTTTCTACTAAACCAGAATACTTTATGAATGAAGTGTTCTAGTTATTTGGTTATTTGAATCTTTTGGTAAACTTGTAGCTAAACAGAAAATCTGTTTTAGTTCAACTCTTCTCACTAAGCGTCTTTTTAAATATTCTCAATGTATTCCTGCCTTATATGCCATCTAGTGAACATAATTAAATCTCTCTTTAATAGAAAACTCTGTAGGACCATGAGACAATCATTTTTTTAACCATGAAATCTACAGTGTTCAGATCAGTAAAATGACTAGCAATTGGAATGCATGTATATAGCCAGCCCTAGACATCCCTGAACATTTCTTTTTAAAATCCCTCTATGAGATGAATTGTACTTATTTTCTTGTCATTTGCTTGTTGTCACTGAGAAATAACAGAAAAAATACTGATTTGAGAGTTTTAGTTACTTTGGTTCAATTTAATTTTAAATGTGGTTTTATAGCTTACTAAATGTAATCATAATTTCGAAATGAGAACAAACAATTTCTATCTATACAATAAGTGGCATTTAACCCCAAGGCCTCCAAAATTTATAGTGAGAATGCTCTTCTCAGTGGAGACTATAGTAACATCCTACTGGCTAGCTCTTAAAATTCTTACAGTAGAGCTGAAATCCTGTCATCATAAACCTTTCAACTATGCCCATGCCTTAGAAGGAAAATACTTTAAAACACTGGTTCTTAACCATTCTGACCCCTTTGAGAGTCTGATAAGAACTTTGAATGCTGTTCCTAGAAAACTTCATATACAAAATTTTGTTTACAATTGGCAACAGATAAAGAACCTGAATCCGTGAGACACGGTGCCTCACGCTTATAATCCCAGCACTTTAGGATGCCAACGTGGGCGGATTGCTTGAGCTCAGGAATTGGAGACCAGTCTGGGCAACAGGGTGAAACCCCGTTTCTACAAAAAAATACAAAAATTAGCCAGGTTTGTTGGGGGTGTGCCTGTAGTCCCAGCTACTCAGGATGCTGAGGTGGGAGGATTGCTTGAGCCCGGAAGGTTGAGGCTGCAGTGAGCTGTGTTCATGCCACTGTACTCTAGCCTGGATGACAAAGCAAGACCCTGTCACAAAAAAAAAAAAAAAAAAGAAAACTTAATCAGCAGATTTTGATGGGGACAGAGGAGAGAATAAGAACAATGAGTGTAGTAAAGTTTGGAATTGGGATGTGTAAATAATAGAGAGGATAGAAACATGATGGACAAACATGTAAGTAAATAACGTTGCCCACTCTAACACCAGTACATCCACATATATCTCTCCTTTCTAGGGGAGAGGGGAAACTTCTCTACTTGCAGTGCACCTGCTTTTTATATATAAAATGCATCTTTAATATAAAATATGCATCTCTCACCTTCCTAATTACACACAGTTGCCAATGTGGTGAATTTATTTATTTATTTATTTTTTCTTTCTTTTTTATTTATTTATTATTATTATTATACTTTAAGTTCTAGGGTACATGTGCATAACGTGCAGGTTTGTTACATATGTATACTTGTGCCATGTTGGTGTACTGCACCCATCAACTCATCAGCACCCATCAACTCGTCATTTACATCAGGTATAACTCGAGAAACAAGAAATGGGGAAAGGATTCCCTATTTAATAAATGGTGCTGGGAAAACTGGCTAGCCATAAGTAGAAAGCTGAAACTGGATCCTATCCTTACTCCTTATATGAAAATTATTTCAAGATGGATTAGAGACTTAAATGTTAGACCTAATACCATAAAAATCCTAGAAGAAAACCTAGGTAGTACCATTCAGGACATAGGCATGGGCAAAGACTTCATGTCTAAAACACCAAAAGCAACGGCAGCAAAAGCCAAAATTGACAAATGGGATCTCATTAAACTAAAGAGCTTCTGCACAGCAAAAGAAACTACCATCAGAGTGAACAGGCAACCTACAGAATGGGAGAAAATTTTTGCAATCTACTCATCTGACAAAGGGCTAATATCCAGAACCTACAAAGAACTCAAACAAATTTACAAGAAAAAAAACAACCCCATCAAAAAGTGGGCAATGTGGTGAATTTAAATCTAAGTATTAGTGTAGAAAGATAAACACTAACTCTTTAATCCTGGTATGGGAAGTAAAGAGCCATTTAATGGTAAAGCAAGACTTTTCTGACTTACTACTGGAAAAACTTTACCAAACTGACACTGTCTTATGGTTTATATGTCTTTTAAATTTTAATTTAAAAAGCTGACATAAAATTGTATGCATTTACCTTGTACAGCATGATGCTTTGAAGTATATATACATTGTGGAATGACTAACTCAGTTTACATATGTATTACCTTAAATAGTTATCATTTTTGTGATGAGGACATTTTATACCCACTCTTAGCATTTTTCAAGAATACAATATAGTGTTAACTATAGTTTCATGTTTGTTGTTGATAGAGGACCAAATCCAAAGTCATTAATCATCTAGTTCCCTTGCTGTTGATTTGTAAACTTGATTCTTTCCAGTTATATCTTCATGAAACACCAAGCTTCATAGGATGATTTATACCCTAAATATAAAAGCCAAAAAAAAAATGTTTTTTTTTTTTAAAGGAAGTAAGTCCCTACCTGGTTAAATTTTTCATTGTTCTTTTGTGTATGTTTGTTTTTATTAAATACTAATTAGAATAAAAAGGCTGTTCAAAATATGAAAGGTATGATATGATGATAATGATGTACAGCTGTGTGCCTACTACCCAATTTAAAGGAAAACAAAAATCCCCTGTGTTCCCATTTCATTCCATTCAGAGGTTATCATTACCCTGAATTTTTACTATTATTCCCCTCCTTTACTTTTAAATTTTACCTTATATGTCTGTATTGCTAAGCAATATGTTTTTTGAGTTTTTTTAAGTAAACTTATATTCCTGAAATTCATCCAAATTTTTCCATGTTGCTGTAATTTTTATGTTTACCCCCTAATTTCTAATATTTCTTTGTACGAATATGCCCCAGTGTATCCATTTTACTGTGGATGGACATTGGGTTGGTTGTAATTAAAATGTTGCTATGAACATTATTATACATAACTCTGGGTGTGCAAAAACAGTAGTTTCTCTAAATATACGTAAGAGTAGAACCACTATATTATACTATATTTGGCATCTTTTAATTTCTGGGTTTTAAATAGTCTTTATAAACAGTTTACCACATCATTCCTGTATTTAAGATGGTTTTTTCAAAGTATTTTATCAGCATTTTTAGTTGTTTTTAGGAAGAAGGCTGATTAGGATTCCTGTTCTGCCATACTACTGTTACGGACAGTCCAGCTATTTTACGTTTTTGACATGAACATTTTTTGCCTGTAGCTCCCTATATATACTGCACCACCGCTTCAGTCTAAATATGTTGAAGAGCAGCCTGGTCATTTACAAATGGGTTTTGCTTCCATCCGGACTGCAACTGGTTGTTATATTGGCTGGTGCAAGGTAAGTCAATTCTGATAGTGGTTTAATATCAGAGGTTTCTGATTTAATTGTTCCAGTTACCTATTGATGTGTAGAAAACTAATCCAAAACTTAGTGGCTTAAAACCACAACCATTATGTTACATCTTATGATTTTGTAAGTCACAAATTTGATCTGAGTTCAGCCCAGTGGTGTTCATCTGGCAAATGAGCTGATCTAGACAGTCCAAGACAGCTTTATTTGCATATCTGGCACCTTGTTAAAGATGGCTGGATGGCCGGGTTCAGCTGGGATTATTGACTAGAATGCCTACACATGGCCTCTCAAGCATGGTGATCTCAAATAGGTCAGATATAACTTAACATGGGTAGTTCAGGGCTCCTAAAGACAATGTTACAAGTGGCCCTAGGCAGAATTTGTCAGGCTTTTTGCCTATTATCAGATGTCCAAGAAAGTCACTTCTACAGCATTCTATTGTTAAGTCACTAAGGCCAGCTTCGTTTTAAAGGGAAGGGAATTAGATGCCAATTCTCAGTAGAAGTTGCAGCAAATAATTTGTGGCTGTATTGAACCTACTGTACCCCTACTGCATAAATTAAAGTAGTTCAGCAAGCATTTGTGTCACCTAGCATGTACACAGTATCCCTCACTTTTTAGGTGAAGTTCTGAGATTACTTCTGAATATTTTCTTCTTTGGCTAAGCAAAGTGTTGTTTACTTGTTGGGGTTATCCCATAAGACCATTCTAGCTACAGTAAGCTATTGGGCAAGCTAGAATACATGTGACTTTAATGCTTAGCCTTCAATTAGTGATATCCATCAGCAGAGTGGTGGAGTAAGCTGATACAACACTAATGTTTCTTTATCATCACATAAACATAATTGTGTTGGCATCGGTATCTCCAGTGTCAGTGTCTTAATGTTGTTACCAGTGTTTTCATCATTCTGACCTAGTAACCATGTGACTTTTCCCCAGCTATAGCCTGATGGTGAACCACTGTTCTTGTTTAGTTTCTTCTATCCATTATCTTTAAAAAGAAATCTAATGAGCTTATAAAAAATAATGTATGCTTAGGTGAAATACCAAATCAATGAACTCTGATAATTCCAGATGATATTTCATTCAAATATCTGATAAATATATGATGTTATTTTTGAAAACTTGTGTTTGTCATACAATTTTTATGGTATTAGTTGTACTACACGCTACTAATAGTTTGCTCTAAGAGGGAAATACCTTAACCAATTATGGTCTGAATCATGTCCCTATGACTATATGCCAATAGCTAGATGATTCAGACTTAAGCTTCCTGAGATGTAATTTTCCATAATGTTCTCAAATTTTTCTTCAGTGAGATAAAATGTTCCTGAGAGGTCTTTAAATTGCTATTGTAACTATCATCCAATTTAAGACTCAAAAGAATGTTTTATTCCATTAATATGCTCAAACAAATAGGTTGAAAAAGGCAATTTCCAATGCATTTTGTCCTAAATGTAAACAACTTTTTTTTTCTAATTTTCCCCTAAAAATGTAATCTATTCTTTAAAAATTACGTCTGACTCAAATTTGTTCCACATTAAACCTTGAATCATGTAGAGCAAATTCAATTTCTGCTACTGCTAGCTTAGTGTTTTGAAATTTAGATAGCACTGACCCCATGTGGTAAAAATGAATTCTTTAGCAGAGATAAGAAAAAAAATTTTTTTAAAGATGACTTAATGGTTAAATGATTCCCAATCGACTGGTCAATAGATATTTTAACTTTGAAGGTGCAATATTCTCAAGAGTCCCTACAGAAAAGTAGTTCAATAGCAGTTAGCATTTATGCTGATTTGTACAATTTTAAACCAAGATGAACCTCTGCATCTCTCTGATAACCATTAAAATATCTAAGATAAAATTACAAAACCAAGCTATCTCTATAACAAAAACTTATTTCTTCCCTGTCCAATATAATAATCTCTATTTTCTCTGCTTTGAAAGTCTTTTTTGTTCTGTTTTTATCCCATGGTTTCATAGCAGCTAGTTCAGAGAAGGAGACCATATATTTGGATTGTGTTTTCTGGTTCCATCAACAGAGTACAATATGACCATGAGTAAATCATTTTGTGACTTCCTTTTTTTTTTCTTATATAAGTGAGATAATACCTAGCACTCAATAAATATATTTAACACTCTTTTGCACTAAAATAAATCAGTTAGAGACAGGTAAAGTTAAAGATTTGCTTTAAAACTTTAATTCCTCCGATGGATTAACATAGTTTTGATTTCTAGAGAATTTATGTTCCTATTTAAAAACAGGATAAACAGTAGTCTATGTAGGATGATTTCTGTCCTGAGGTAATTTAGATTTTTTTTTTCTCATTCTAATGTACAATAAGAAAAGGGAGGAAGATGAAGCCCTTTGCTTTAGACTTTCTGTTCTTTTTTTCCCTCTACAAATCATTATGTTATTGCTACTGCATCTTTATTAATCAGATGTTGCTTCTAAACTGAAATATACTTTGCTTTATTTAAATTCCATTTATTTTTCTAGTTCGTCATAACATAAGATGATAGATCTTTATTTTCTTCACTATCATTTCTGCTCTGATTATTTCATAGACATCCATTTATATGAGAAAAATGGTATAAATGTTATCCATGTTAAATAGAATGAAAAGCAGAAAATGAAAACAAGCTAAGTTAAATGAGTATTCTGATAGTAAATACACAGGAAAGCTGGATTTAGATTTGGGCATAATGCTAAGTCAACCTTTTAATATAATCTCGGAGGTGCAGGCAATTTTGTCTCATTATCAACAGCTTCAAAAATGCAGGTGTCTTCCCCCTCCCCTTTTTTTTTTTTGCTTAGGGTGTTTATGTCTTTGTGAAAAATGGGATAATGGATACAGTACAATTTGGAAAAGGTAGGTGAGTAAATAATTAGAAATGTTGTATTGTGTTTTTAAATTGCTTTGTTTAAATATGAGAAAAATAAACTTGGTATGTTACCCATTATCATGCATTTGTCAACTCAGAAGATACTCTCTATAGCAATTTATTGGTAATAATAGCAAAGCAATAGTATTCATTATTCAGCAGTTATTATTGGCTAAGGTGTTGTACTAAACATTTTACATAATTTTTGTCACAATTCTGTTAGTATTGGTATTATAATTATTCCCATTTTACAAATGAGGGCAACTGAGGTTTAGAAAGGTTAAGTAGGTTATTGAGGTTACATAACTACAAGTGGTAGTGCCAGGATACAAACTGAGGTCTGTTTTAACTACTAAGTCTATATTATATATCATAAAGCGTAAATTAAAAACATGTCTCCATTGTTGCTAATTAGTTTAAGTGCTATTTGCTGTTAAAATACATTGTATTTTGCTGTCAACGGCTAGGAAATATTATAGCAATCACTAACCCTGGAATATTTAAGCTAATGTTTAAAAAGCAATTATATTTGACTCTAGCTTGTTAATGGTATTTAGCAACAGATACAGCTTTCTAATATTCTTGGCTTATGCCAGTTGTCATAGTAAATATGTATGGGAGATAGAAAGATGAGCTAAAATTTTGAATGTTTCCATGAAGTTGATGACCTGTTTTTGAATTATCATTATTTAATGTATTAGGAATAAATTCAAAATTATATTCCTCATCAATCATTAGGAATAGGATTAAATATGTGATTGCTATTAAATAATTAACTATGATAGAAAAGTATACTTTTGGAACTAGAAACAATTTAAATATATAGAAAGCCAAGAAATCTGGACTTTCACCTACTCTTCATCTACTTTTTATCTAGGCTCAGTGATGATTAACCAACAGCAGTGGCTGTCTTGAGATTATTAGGGAGTAGTGGCAAGCAAGGTCTAGTAGCTGTGTATATCCTTAAACTATTATTCAAAACTCCTTTATAAAGTATCTATTTCGGTTCTCACTGGAGGCTACCAGTGTTTGAACAGATAAGGGCAGAAGCATGTTCATTATAGAGATATAATACATACACAGTCAGAAATTCACCTTATGGTAACCCATATTAAGATGTGCCCTCTAGCATTACATTTCTTTATAGTAATGACCACTGGTATCATTAAGAAAAGAAATATTAAATCACCTATAGAAGGAAAATGTTATTTCGTAACAAGTAAATATATCTAGTTTTTTAGGTTGCTACTCATATCGTCATTATATATAGCTCTTTTGAAGAGTGTTTAAACCTTATTATTATCTTAACAAATCTCTTTAACCTTCCTGCATCATAACTGTATAGAATGCCCAGTAGAATTCAGTTATTTATGTTAATTTTTAACTGATTTCTTGAGATGCTTATGTCTATCTGAAGAATCCTCCTCGAGACTTTCTTCCGAAAATGGGAGTTATTACAGTTTCAGGATTGGCGGGCTTGGTTTCAGCGAGAAAAGGTAGGGTTTTTAAGAGTATATTCTCTCTTAATGCCAAGATATTAGTTTCTGAATTTTACGATCATAAGAAAACCTCATATGCTTTATTGAATATTATCTGGATAGGCTACTGTAAAGATTTTTAGATTCTGTATTACAGCATGCTTACTTTTATAAGGACTTTGTGTTTTCAAAACTATAGCTATTCCAAAGGCAGTTCAACGTCATTAGTCATTAGGGAAATGCAGATAAAAACTAGAATGAGATACCATGTCAGTTCTAACAACATTGGTCAGGATGAGACCAAGAGAAAATAAAATTTTATCTCATATATCAGTATATCTGTCTCAAATCTTTAAAGTAGCCCCCAGAATATGGGGGATCATGACTGAGAAAATTAGTTTGAGTGATTAGTATATATTTTTACGTTAAGATAAAACTCTCAAGAAATTTTTTCGGTAGTTAGCGACTCTTAAGGTCTTAAAAAAAAAGTTACCTAGAAAACAAAATGACAAATTATAATTTTAATAGGAACAGCTGTATATTCAAAAAAATTTTATTTCAAAATTATGACACAGTAGATTCATACAATTCTATCAGTTTTAATATATACATAGAGTCATGTAACCATCACCACAACCAGGATACAGAACAGTTATATTATTCCCAAAAAGTACCTCATGCTATCTGTCTGTAGTCAGACCTTCTTCCCACTTCTAACTCCCAGAAACACTGATCTGTTCTCTGTCACTCTAGCTCTGCCTTTTTGAGAATGCCATCTAAATGGAATCATACATAGACTGGCTTCTTTCACTCAGATTATCAAGATTGTTGCATGTGTCAATAGCTTGTTCCTTTTTGTTACTAAGTAGTATTTCTTCATATGGATGTGCCACAGTTTACTTTATCACTTACCTGTTGGACATTTGGGTTGTTTCCAGCTTTTGGTCATTAGGAATAGAGCTGCTATGAAAATTTGTATACAGGGTTTTCATTTCTCCAAGCCCTTACTAAGCTAGTGTAGTTCTCTAGTCACTAGCCATTTTGGTCACCTTCCAGTCATCCTTTGTCCACACTCCAGTTGGCAGACATTGTCCCCAAACTAAATTGCTTATATTTGGAAGGCACAGCTCTGAGCCAGTCTGGAATCTGATGTCAGGTACTTTATAGTTTGTTTTTCCAGCTATAGTCCTAAAAGCCTCAACTCAAGGCATAATTAGGTACAAAACTGCTGTGCAATTATAAGAACATTCTAGCATCCTAACTCTAACATCTCTCTCTCTCTCTCTCATATATATAACATGTATAACAGATATATGTATAACATATATATATAGCATATACATGAGAGTTAGGATGGTAGAATGTTCATATATATATATAGATATAGATATAGATATCATCTGGATGGACATAACACTCTCTCTATAGCTAATATGAATGCCTCCCTATATCCTATTTCTTATTGTAGTAGGCAAGCAACTTCTAATTGAATAGGTATTATAAATTATTCAGTAAGAAATAATTAAAAACCAAGATCACGATATAAAACAATAAGACTCAAATAATTAAATTTTGAAGGAAATTGTCCAAAACGTATTACTCCGTTTCTCAGTAAAATACTTATACCATTCTTGCAAGAGAAAATGTTCCGTAGGTCATTCACCGTGTTTCCAAATGTCAGAGCTAGAATAGTCTAACCCAGTGTTTTTCAAATTGGAGATCTCAACCTATTAATAGATAATGACATAAATATAATGAATCTCAGGAGACATTTTACCTTTGTTTTAAAAAATTATATTTTAAGTTCCAGGGTATATGTACAGCATGTTCAGATTTGTTACATAGGTAAACGTGTACCATGATGGTTTTCTGCACCTGTCAACCCATCAGCGAGGTATAAGCCCAGCATTCATCAGCTATTTTTCCTGATGCTCTCCCCCCGCCACCCTCCCATGACAGGCCCCAGTGTGTGTGTTGTTCCCCTCCGTGTGTCCATGTCTTCTCATTGCTCAGCTCCCACTTACAAGTGAGAACATGCAGTGTTTGGTTTTCTGTTCCTGTGTTAGTTTGCTGAGGATAATGGCTTTCCAGCTTCATCCATGTCCCTGCAAAGGACATGATCTCATTTCTTTTTATGGCAGCATAGTATTCCATGGTGTATATGTACCACATTTTCTTTATAAATCTATCATTGATGGACATTTGGGTTGATTCCATGTCTTTGCTATTGTGGATAGTGCTGCAGTGAACATATGCATACATGTATCTTTATAATAGAATGATTTATATTCCTTTGGGTATATACCCAGTAATGGGATGGCTGGGTCAAATGGTATTTCCAGTTCTAAATCTTTGAGGAATCGCCACATCTTCCACAATGTTTGAACTAATTTACATTCCCACCAACAATGTAAAAGCATTCATTTCTCTCCACAACTTCACCAACATCTGTTATTTTATGACTTTAGTAAAAGCTGTTCTGATTGGTGTGAGATATTATCTCATTGTGGTTTTGATTTGCATTTCTCTGATGATCAGTGATGTTGAGCTCTTTTTCATGTTTATTGGCCACATGTATGTCTTCTTTTGAGAAGTGTTTGTTCATGTCCTTTGCCAATTTTTAAATGGGGTTCTTAGTTTCTTTCTTATAAATTTGCTTAAGTTCCTTGTAGGTTCTGGATATTAGACCTTTGTGAGATGGATAGATTGCAAAAATTTTCTCCCGTTCTATAGGTTGTCTGTTCACTCTGATGATGGTTTCTTTTGCTGTGCAGAAGCTCTTTAGTTTAATTAGATCTCATTTGTCAATTTTTGCTTTTGTTGTGATTGCTTTTGGTGATTTCATCATAAAATTTTTGCCCATGCCTATGTCCTAAATGGTATTGCCTATATTTTCTTTTAGGATTTTTATAGTTTTGTGTTTAATGTTTTAAGTCTTTAATCCATCTTGAGTTACTTTTTGTATAAGGTGTAAGGAAGGGGTCCAATTTCAGTTTTCTGCATATGGCTAGCCAGTTTTCCCAACACCATTTATTAAATATTGAATCCTTTCCCCATTGCTTGTTTTTGTCAGGTTTGCCAAAGATCAGATGGTTGTAGATGTGTGGTTTTAGTTCTCTATTCTGTTCCATTGGTCTGTGTGCCCATTTTTGTACAAATACCTTACTGCTTTGGCTACTGTAGCCTTATAGTATAGTTTGAAATCAGGTAGCATGATGGCTCCAGCTTTGTTCTTTTTTGCTTAGGGTTGTCCTGGCTATATGAGCTCTTTTTTGGTTCCATGTGAATTTTAAAATAGTTTTTTCTAATTCTGTGAAGAATGTCAATGATAACTGAATGGGAATAGCATTGAATCTGTAAATTCCTTTGGGCAGTATGGCCATTTTCACGATATTGTTTCTTCCTATCCATGAGCATGAAAAGTTTTTCCTTTTGTTTTTGTCTTCTCTGATTTCCTTGAGCAATGGTTTGTAGTTCTCCTTGAAGAGGTCTGTCACTTCCCCTGTTAACTGTATTCCTAAGTATTTTATTCTTTTATGGCAATTGTGAATGGGAGTTAATTTGTGATTTGGCTCTCTGCTTACCTGTTGTTGGTGTATAGGAATGCTAGCAAATTTTGGACATTGATTTTTGTATCTTGAGGCTTAGCTGAAGTTGCTTATCAGCTTAAGAAGCTTTTGGGCTGAGTTGACGGGATTTTCTAGATACAGGGATTATATCATCTGCAATCAAAGATAATTTGACTTCTTCTCTTCCTATTTCAGTACCCTTTATTTTTTTCTCTTGCCTGATTGCCCTGGCGAGAACTTCCAGTACTAGGTTGAATAAGAGTGGTGAAAGAGGGCATCCTTTTCTTGTGCCAGTTTTCAAGGGGAATGCTTCCAGCTTTGCCCATTCGTTATGATATTGGCTATGGGTTTGTCATAAATGGCTCTTATTGTTTTGAGGTGTGTTCCTTCAATATCTAGTTTATTGAGAGTTTTTAACATGAAGGGATGTTGAGTTTTATCAAAGGCCTTTTCTCCGTCTATTCAGATAATCATGTGATTTTTGTCTTTAGTTCTTTTTACATGATGAATTACATTTATTGATTCGCATATGTTGAACCAGCCTTGCATCCCAGGGATGAAGCCAACTTGATCATGGTGGATAAGCTTTTTGATGTGCTTCCGGATTTGGTTTGCCAGTATTTTATTGAGGATTTTTGCATTGATGTTCATAAGGAATATTGGCCTGAAGTTTTCTTTTTCTTTTTTTTGTTGTATCTCTGCCAGGTTTTGGTATCAGGATGATGCAGGCCTCATACAATTAGTTAGGGAGGAGTCCCTCCTTTTCAGTTGTTTGGAATAGTTTCAGAAGAAATGGTACCAGCTCCTCTTTGTACCTCTGATAGAATTCAGATGTAAATCCATCTGGTCCTGGGGTTTTTTGGTTGGTAGAATATTTATTGCTGCCTCAATTTCAGAACTTTTTGCTGGCCTATTCAGGGATTCAACTTCTTCCTGGTTCAGTCTTGGGAGGGTGTATGCGTCCAGAAATTTATCCATTTCTAGATTTTATAGTATATTTGCATAGATGTGGTTGTAGTATTCTCTGATGGTGTTTTGTATTTCTGTGGGATCAATGGTGGTATCCTCCTTATCATTTCAGATTGTGTTTATTTGAATATTCTCTCCTTTTTTCTTTATTAGTATAATTAGCAGTCTATTTTATTGATGTTTTTCAATAAAATCATCTCCTCGATTTGTTGATTTTTTTTTTTTTTTTTGAAGGGATTTTTGTGCCTCTGTCACCTTCAGCTCTGAAGCTTGGTTATTTCTTGTCTTCTGCTAGCTCAGTGGTTTGTTGGCTCTTGGTTCTCTTGTTATTTTAGTTGTCATGTTAGGATGTCAATTTGAGATCTTTTTAGCTTTTTGATGTGGGCATTTAATGCTATAAATATCCCTCTTAACACTACTTTAGCGGCATTGCAGATTCTGGCACATTGTCTCTTTGTTCTCATTAGTTAAAAAGAACATCTTGATTTCTGCCTTAATTTCATTATTTACCCAGAAGTCATTCAAGAACAGCTTGTTCAATTTCCATGTAGTTGTGCGATTTTGAGAGAGTTTCTTAATCTTGAGTTCTAATTTGATTGTGCTGTGGTCTGAGAGACTGTTATGATTTCAGTTCTTTTACATTTGCTGAGGAGTGTTTTACTTCCGATTATGTGATCAATTTTAGAGTAAGTGCCACATGGCACTGAGAAAAATGTGTATTCTGTTTTTGTTTTTGTTTTTGTTTTTTTCCTGGAGTGGAGAGTTCTGTAGATGTCTATCAGGTCCACTTGATCTAGAGTTGAGTTCAAGTCCCGAATATCTTTGGTAATTTTCTGTCTCGATGATCTGTCTGATACTGACAGTGGAGTATTAAAGTCTCCCACTATATTATGTGTGGGTCTGTATCTCTTTTTAGGTCTTTAAGTACTTGCTTTATGAATCTGGGTGCTCTTGTATTGGGTGCATATATATTTAGGATAGTTAGCTCTTCTTGTTGAATTGAACCCTTTACCATTATGTAATGTCCTTCTTTGTGTTTTTTGACATCTGTTGGTTTAAAGTCTGTTTTGTCAGACACTAGGATTGCAACCCCTGATTTTTTTCTGCTTTCCATTTGCTTGGTAAATGTTCCTGCATCCTTTATTTTGAGTCTTGTGTGTGTCTTTGCACATGAGATGTGTCTCTTGAATACAGCACACCGATGGGTCTTGTCTTTTTGTCTGGCTTGCCATCCTGTGTCTTTTAATTGGGGCATTTAGTCCATTTTCATTTAAGGTTAATATTGTTATGTGTGAATTTGATCCTGTCATAATGGTGCTGGCTGGTTAATTTTGCAGACTTGTTAATGTAGTTGCTTCATAGTGCCATTGGTCTGTGTACTTCAGTGTGTTTTTGTAGTGGCTGGTAATGGTTTTTCCTTTCCATGTTTAGTGCTCCCTTTGAGAGCTCTTGCAACGCTGGTGTGGTGGTGATGAAATCCCTCAGTATTTGCTTGTCAGGATGCATTTTATTTAAAAATAGAGGAGAACAGCAAATATCAGAGTAGTTTTTTCTTGCAGACTGGCCTCTCTTATCAGGTAAAGAGAGGATGACTGTAAGTCTTTTTAAAATCTTTAAAATGACACATAAGGAAAAACTGCCACCTGCTATGTTTAGGAGCAGCACAATTAGGGGAATTTGGTTAAGTCAAGGGAACTTACATCAAGAGATATTAGAATTATGAAATAAGAAATTTAACTATAGGTAACGGAATAACAGCGAGCAGGACTAGAGTAAAGGAGCAACTTAGGACATTTTAATATACTTAAACCCTCTTTCTGCATACCACAAAAGTCTAAATCTAAAGAAAAGCTAAACTAGTTCGAATCAGCCTGGCCGCCCGCCACCCCCCACCTCAGTCCACTATAGACATGACTATAGAAAGCTTCCTTAATAATAGTTAAACCAGACCGATAGAGACCTCTAGTTTTTCTCTTACGTAAACTGCAAATTTGCCTGCAAACATTCATTTTCATTTGTATAATATACCAGATAGGCTGTTCCCTTTTTAGATTAGGGATTGTATAAGCTGCTTCAGATCATGAAAGTACTTATCCCAATTTAAAAATCCATCATCCAATTACCCAGATCATATATACAATCTAAGATACTCAGAGAAGCATTTAACGTACATATTATTTTGAATCAATAGTTACTTGGAACTAAGCTATGGCTTAAAGTGGTGGATTTCAAACTATTCTGTAGAACCCTTAGTTTCATGGAAGTGTTTAGTGGTGGTATCAGGATAAAGGAAAAGCCATATAGCCAGGGTTTGATACAGAGCTTCCTACCCCAAAGTTAGTCACAGCAGCATCAAGTTTATAGGTTTTATATATTGAATTTCCTAGGGAGATTCTATTTGAAAGATATTTTGAAAGGATTTTGTTACCAAAAAAAGATATGAAAATAACTCTTAAATGATGCATAGTTAAGGCACTTTTTGATATGCATTAATTATGTCAAGTTACTTGCAATTATTATTCAGTATTCTAAATCAGTGACATGAAGGAGTTATGCACCTGTTAAAGTCCTTAGCTGATTATTTAGTTGAGTAACTAACCTTCCTAAATACTTAATCAAAAAGGAGACGTAAGAGAGAGTCCATTTCACTTTAATATGGTGTCACAAACACAGTAGTTAATTAATTCTCTATATTATCATGCTTTATTAGATACTTGCAAAATTGTGGTTATAAATTTGGGTTTCGTAGGACATGAAAAATACCTAGCTTTCAAGCAGCAGAAAATCATCCATTCCTTTTGTGTAGGTAATTGTCAGTATTAGATTGAGAATACTTTTGTTAAATTGGACATGACAGCTAAGGGGTAATTGACTTGAGATCCTTAAGGGCATTTTGGCTTCCATCTTGATTGGTATAATTACATAAAAAGTAATTTAACAGAGTGTCATGGCTTACCAGGGGAGCAAAGAAAGCATTACAGTATAAGAACATCAAGTCTCTGGTGGCATATATTTGGAGTTTAATAATTTATTTGCATTTTATAGGTTCCAAGTTTAAGAAAATTACTTATCCTCTGGGACTGGCCACTTTAGGAGCAACTGTTTGCTACCCAGTTCAGTCCATAATAATTGCTAAGGTAAGTTCTTTTTAAATAATAGCAACATTTCAGTATTTGTTTAAACTCTCAGTGTGACAATATTTAAATGTTACACAGCACCTTCAACATTTAATTTTAAGAGATGTAGTTGGTGTCAACTCTGTTGGCCAAATCACATTAGCATCTTAGCATGGTAAATGCCATTCTTAATAGGATGAATTTGTTTAAATATAATTCAACAATGTAAAGGCAGATTTGAGGATTACGTTCAGAGACACTGAATTAGAATTTATGGGGAGAAATACTGCTCCATTATTAAGGTATATAAACTTCAATTTTTATTTAAAAGAAGATTAAAATACTAGCAGCTGTTTGGTTCAGCAGATTAACCTGACATGAGAAACAACCAGTTGATAGATTGGCTTCAGTGGTTTTTGAACGTAAAACACACACACACACACACACACACACACACACACACACACACGAACTCAATATTGAAACCACTTAGAATTAAGAAACACCTGTATAAATGCTTATTATAGTTGTTTTGTCTTTTTCTTGTAAGCTTAAGTACAAATCCAGATTCTTTTAATGATTTGAACAGTTTTTGTCAGTATTTTATTTTTAACACATGTTCAGATTGAGAAGGAAAACTTTGGGTTATGCATTTTTCTCCCTCTTTTCCTTCTCCTCTTAATTACCAACAGTTAACATATCCCCCTCATGCTTGAAACAATGTGTGGTGTTACCAGAAGGACTTTCTGTACTTGTATTCCCATTGCTTCATCTCTTTAACTATTGATGTAGAGAAAGTTGCCTATCAATATTTTGAGAGTGTCAAGGATATGGTGTACTATGTAGTTTGTAATGTGATCAAACTATAGAAGCTCATAACAGAGGAAGAGAACATTATTCATTAAGTCTACTTATACCTGAAATAATTGATAACATGGTAAACTTATTTTTAAAACTTTCTTAATAATTTACATAGGAATTAACCACTGAAATCAATAAAATGCTAGTATTGGAAGAAAACATTAAGCTCATTTAATTCAACTTTGATCTTTTCTCATTTATCTATAGGGAAACTATGGCTCAGAGGAGTTTCATAGTGACTGATTTGCCCAACATCATACTGAGCTTCAGATTTTTGGCCTCCATGTTCATTACTCCTCCCAGTGGATGATGCTTCCACTGATTCTTTTTTTTTTTTTTTTTCTGTTTTTTTGAGATGGAGTCTTGCTTTGTCACCCAGGCTGGAGTGCAATGGCGCAATCTTGGCTCACTGCAGCCTCCGCCTCCTGGATTCAAGTAATTCTCCTGCCTCAGCCTCCCGAGTAGCTGGGATTATAGGCGCCCACCACCATGTCCAGCTAATTTTTGTAATTTTAGTAGAGATGGAGTTTCACCAGGTTGGCCAGGCTGGTCTCGAACACCTGACCTCAGGTGATCCATCTGCCTCGGCCTCCCAAAGTGCTGGGATTATCGGCGTGAGCCACTGTGTCCAGCCCTGATTCTTCTTTTTTCTAAGAGTAATGACATCATGGTTGTTTTTAAAAATTGTGCCTGCTTATCTTTAGATAATCTAAATATTTCAGAAAAGTTTAGGGAAAAAAAATCGCCCAAAATGCATCTATCCATACAAATATCCATGTCCACATTTGGATGGAATGTTCTTCTAGACATCTTAACATACATACACAGAGATAGAAAAACAAATGTATGAATAGACAGGTAAGAATGAGATCATAGTATGTGTCTTATTTTTATTTTTTAAAATAAAGTATTGAATTTTACTTTTATAAAAGGAAAAAAAAGAATTGCTGAACTTCAAATAGCAATTTTTCTAATATAAGAGATTAACTTGTAAATGTTCTTCTGGGGTAAATAATTGTTACTTTAATTCTTAGGGTTGAAATCCTTGCTTTTCTTTTGACTATAATAATATCATATTTAATATTTTAAAAATTCAAATATATAATTTTTTTAACCTGAGATTCATGATGGACTTTAGAGAGTCTGTAGCACACCCTCCTCTCCAAAACTTTATGAAAAGTCATGTGTGTACAAGAAAAACCTTATTTGACATAATCAGGACTAGTAGTTAACAATTAATCAAAAGTGTTAAAGCAGCGAGTTGTAAAAATATATATAAAAATATATACCCACAATTTTACTTCAAATTAAAACATAAGTGTCTTTCTTCAGCCTGGCCAATATGGTGAAACCCCATCTCTAGTAAAAATATAAAAATTAGCCAGGCCTGGTGGCGGGCGCCTGTAATTCCATCTGCTGGGGAGGCTGAGGCATGAGAATCACATGAACCCAGACAGCAGAGGTTGCAGTGAGCCGAGATTGCGCCATTGCACTCCATCCAGCCTGGGAGACAGATTGAGACTCCATCTCAAAAAAAAAAAAGTCTTTCCTTTTCTCTGTTTTGAAGTAGGACTTTTCTTTGAGTATTGGTCTACTGGTTAAAGATCTATAACATCTTTCCAACGGTAAGCCATGTTTGTAGTATGTCTTCTACAATTTCCAGATTAGATTCCTTTAAAATAGAATGAACAATTAAAAACATTAAAAAAAAGATGAGTGCAGAATCCTTTTAGATGTTTATTACTTCTCCCAGCTGTTATAATTGTCTTGCTCACCTCTAATTTCATAGCAGTTATTTTTTTAGCCATTCACATCTGTGTCTTTATGAAGCATTTAACTTAATTTTCCTAGAAACAATAATTATTTTTATAATTGTATTTTATCATATTATGTTACATTTAGACTGTTTAATTACAAGTAAAACTGATGTAGCAACTTGGGGAAAAAGGGAACTTACTCTTGATAAGCATACTAATCAACTTCCGAAAGATAGTACCTTAGCATTTTGGAGAGCACCTGATAGGAATGAATGTTCAGCATTCTACAAACATCATTTATAATAAATTTAAAAAACATTTTATTAATCAGTCACGTCTCCTAAAAGGATGTCAGGTGAGAGCTTTTTACTGTATCTGTATTTTTCTGAAGGAAAGGGCCTATAGCTTTCAAGAGCTTCTCCAAGGTGTCTATGATATTAAAAAGTTTAAGAAATGATAGTCTAGAAGGTCCTTTGAACAATGAAAGACTCACTCCAGTTATTCATCATTTTGAAAATACTCTTCAAGATGGAATTACTCTTTGCTCTTTATAATTTTCCTCACAATATTTTTATTATTAACTTATGTAATGAGTAACAAGTAGTCTGTCTTTGAAAGCTATAAAATATCTAAGAATAGACTTACCAAATAATGTTTTAATACCTGTTTAAAAGAAAAATAAACTATCAAACTTTACTGAAGGGTATTTTTAAATTTTCACAATATTTAATTGATGAATAAAGATTAAATATATTCAAGGTGTACAACATGATGATTTGACATACATATATAGTGTAATGATTATTACAATCAAATTAACACATCCATCACCACCCATGCAGCACATTATATACCCAGAACTTGTTCATCTTATGACTGAAAGTTTGTTCGCTTTGACCAACATCTCATTTACCTCACTCCTATCCCCTGGCAACCTCCATTCTACTCTCTGCTTCTATTCTGCATATATATCAAAAAAAAAAAAAATGAAATCAGTATCTTGAAGAAATATATGCACCTCCATGTTCATTGCAGCATTATTCACAATAGTCAAGATTAGAAACAACCTAAGTGTCTCTCAGTAGATAAATGGATAAAGATAATTCGGTACATATATACAACAGAGTGCTATTTAGCCATTAAAAATGGAAATTCTGCCATTTGCAACAGCATGGATAACCCAGAGGACATTATACTCAGTGAAATAAGATAGACACAGAAAGACAAATACTGTTTGATCTCACTTATATGTAAAGAATGTTTAACAAAAAATCTTGAATATCTTTGGAGATATATCCTGTTTCTGGATGAAAGACTAAATGTTGAAATACGGCAGGTGTTTCAAAATCTAGAAATTTAATTCAGTTCCTACAAAAGCCCTGGATTTGAATGGAGTGTGACATTCATTCACCTAATATTTGTTGTCTGTCTACTGTGTATTGGTTACTATAGCATACATAATAAAATAGATCAAGAGGACAAAAGAGAATATTCAATCAATTATATTGAGTATATCTTTGTACACATGAGGGTAGGGATGGATATGTGGTACAGGTGGCATTTCAAATCAGTGTGTAATGGAAATGATAGATTTATTTTTTTTTTCCGAGAAATGTGTTGGGATAATTAGCTGTTTGGAAAATTACTCAGACCTTTACCAACTATCGTGGGAAAACTAATTCTAGGTGGAATAAACATCTAACCATAAACTAGAATACTATAAAAGGTATGAGAAGAAATAAGAGGAATATCTGTTTAATCTTGAGATAGGAAAGGCTTTCTTAAGCAAATTACAATCTAGAAGCCATCAAAGAAAAAGTTGACATATTTGACAACATCAAAATTAATACATTTCTGTAGATTACAATATTACCATACACAATGTTAATGGATACATGAAAAACTAGGAAAACTATTTGTAACATATGTGACAAAGCACTAATATCCTTCATGTATTAAGAACTCCTATAAATCAATGAGCAAAAGATGAATGTGCCCTCTGGGAAAATGAAAAAATACCTGAACAAGCAGTCTACAAAATAAGAAACAAAAATGGCCTAATGTACGTAAGATACTTGATTTCATCAACAAATAAATGCAAATTTGAAAAATCATTTAGATATTGGTTTTTAGCCTTTAAATTTGACAAAGATTTAAAAGACTTATCACTGCTGGTAAATAGGGTAGGAAAACAGATATATACTCTTGGTGGGAATGTAAATTGCTGCAGTATATTGCTGACTTTCTGGAGAGCAACATGGTAATACTGTCAAATTAAAATGTGTGTACTCTTCAGTGCAGAAATTTCAGCTCTAGGAATTTATTTTGAGGAAATACTATAAGGGTTATGGTCCCAGTTGTATGTATAAGGATACTAATTTCATCATTGCTTATACTTGCCATCTACCTACCCACAAAAAGGAAAACAGTCCATATGCTCACCAATAGGGGATTTGTTAAATCATTGTGCCTCAATAGGGAATTTGTTCAACAAATTGTTGCATCCATTATAGAATACTAAACTAAGAAGCAAATTTAAAAAGTAGACCTATGGCATATAAAGTAATATAGAACCATGCCTTTGAAATATTGTCAAGCTTTTAAAAAAATAATATCTCAGAATAACATGTTTACTGTGATCCCAAGTATTTGAAAAGGAAAACAAACTAAATACATGTGTAATTTATTTTAAAATTTAATTGAAAAATTAATTGAGATTGTATTATGTAATCTATTCTGTAACTTCTTCAAATTAGTGGTTCATCATGGACTTCCATTCATGCCAGTACATATAGATCTACCTCATCTTTTTTGAAAGATCTATAAATATTAACATTACATTTGTTTTAAAATCTGTGTATGTATAATGTATGTATGAGTAAAAATTCAGGAAGAATATATGTATAACTGTTAACCAAGGTTATATTTGGGGAGGAGGAGGAATTTCTTTATATTAGTTTATTACTTAACTTTTCAAGTATAGAGATATACTTAGTAAAAACAATAAATATTTCTATTTGAGGATGGAAACATAATTTTTAAAAAATTTATGTTTGTAGAAATTGTAATCCTGGAAAACCCCTCAAAACATCTTCAAAACTTGAAAAATCAATGGCTATTGAAATTACTTTAACTATAATAAACAAAAGGATTAGAGAAGAATAGGAAAAAGAAGAAATCAGAAGTAGATTTTCAAAGAGAAATAGAGATGAATGAAAATAACAGTAACTTTAGGAATTCAGCCAGCATCCCATTCTCTTCTTGAGTGTATTTATCAGTCATTGTTTGTTTTACCTTTCTACCACAAAAGAATATTATTCTTTGGAGGAATTAGTTGATGCTTTTTATTTCTTTATGAATGGAGAAAGCACCATCAAATTTTAAGCAAAAGCATTAACTTTGTAGCATGCTAAAAATCTCATTTTCTCAGTCAGCAGTTCATTATCTCGAACTATATTCCCCAAACTTCTGTTAATACAGTTTTCACTTACATCAAATCACCATGTTATATACCTTAAATAGATACAATTTTATATATGTCAGTCTAATCTCACTAAAGCTGAAAAAAATTTTTAAAAAGACATAGTTTCAAATTTATATGTTACAGTGTGAATGCAGATTATACATTATAACCCTTTGCGTGACACAACAATTTTTTCATATAAAATTTTAGAAATGGTGCTTTGTGTTATATGATTTAGAGATTTATATCTTTATTGATTCTGATCTGAGTGTTCACATAAAATACCTGACAAATCTAAAATACATTTTTAATTTTAACTTTTAAAAATATGTTATTTGACTTACTTTTTGTTTTAATTAGGTAACAGGGAAAAAGATATATGCTACAAGCCAGCAAATTTTTGGAGCAGTTAAATCACTGTGGACAAAAAGCAGCAAAGAAGAGTCACTCCCTAAACATAAAGAAAAAACTAAGGTAGAGTTTACATAGAGCAAGGCGGTCAACATTGAGTTTTGTTTGGGTGGGTGTTGGCTTGTAATGAGGGTACTGGACAGAGGTCGAGGATAAAATGAGAAAGTAGATGAAGGAATTAGTAAAATGATTTACTTATGAAGGAAAAATCTGTTTGGTAAACAGCTAGGATCCTCTGTCGAAATAGAAGTACCTGCAAAAACAACTGACGTCTTGAAACACTCAGTGCCCTTGCCAACAGAACTCAGCTCTGAAGCGAAGACCAAATCAGAATCCACTTCAGGTTTGTTGGGTATAAGTTAATTTTGTTTTCATTCTTTTCTTAAATAATTTGATTGCTTTATCATTAGTGGTTTGAACTAAGATGTGTTCTCCCCATAAATATTTTGTCTTTTTCAATCTGTGGTTTGTGTTTCTTTTTAGGTTGTGAGGTACTTAGGTACCTGCAATGGCTTTAAATTACCACATAGTTCATAATATAGAGTATATAGAGTAGCACCAACACGTTGATTGGGTGAAGCATTTAATATAACTTTATAAATTTGAGCTATTTTATCAGGTGGGGGAAATGGGCCTTTCTAGATTCTGTAATTTTAAAGGGATGAGTCACACCTACATAAAGAAATGTCAGCTTCCATTTTTTGTGCTATTTACCTATCAGTCTCCCTGTCAATCTTAAGACTGTTTTATTTTTATTAAGTTTAGTTTTATTAAGTTTAGGCACCAAAAGAACTTTCAGCATCAAATAGTAGAAATATCATCAATTATAATACTTATAATGTTGCTGGTATTCCATACTGGCAATAAATACTTTGTGAAACCAAACAGTGACAATTATACTTTCTAAACAAATACTGCCATGATTTTACTGTGATCACAAAGAAGGTGACAGAGTGTTTAATACCATTTTGACAATGTATTCTTATGGATTTGCATAGGTTTATCTATATGTACAATGTGAATTGTAAAACCCGTTGTCTTATTGCAAAGGAAAGGTGACTAACTCAGAGGTTGGGGAATAATAATATCCACCCTTTATCAAACACATACTGTGATGCAGAGAGCTAGAAGTATATTATGTTATTCAGCCCTTACCCACAAAACAAAACAAAAACCTCTGCTGGATCGGTAATTATTCCCATTTTATGATGAAGAGACTGAGACTCAGGGAGCTAAAATAACTTGCCCCAAATCATATAGCTTGTGAGTAGCAGAGTTGTGTTTATGGCCTAGATCTTCTTGACATCAGAGTCTAAGCTCTTTCCATTGTGTATAGGTTATCTAATTTAAAACCGGAATTTAGTCTCTAATTTCAGCCCCCTCCTCTCACTTAATCTTCATAAAAACTGTCATTGAATAACAAACCTGATTTGAGTTTTACTGTTTTCCTCTGTCCTCTCTCCTAACTAATCAAGACAAGTTTTACAGTTTTTAGACTCTCTGAATAATCTGCAGGTGACCATATTCTCACAAGAATATAATGTATGGTCATTTTTCCAAATGCCTGTTAATTCCAAAGTATCTTTATGAAGATGAAACATACTACACCTTAACAGTGGGACCAAAACCTTCCAAAGCTAATGTCTTTTTGTTCACACATCTAGATTCTGGAACCCTTTATTTGCCTGTCTTGGGTGACGTGGTATATGAAAAGCATTCTATCGAGATGATGCAGAGGGAGAAAGAGATGCCAGTGCTACTCATTCTTATCATATATGTCTTGGTCAGTTTGAGCTGCTGTAAAAAATACCATAGACTGGGTGACTTATAAACAACAGATATTTATTTCTTACAGTTCTAGAGACTGAAATTCTGAGATCAGGGTGCCAACATGGTCAGGTTCTGGTGAAGGCCCTTTTCTAGCTTGTAGACAACCCACTTCTCATTGTGTTCTCACATGGCAGAGAGCAGAGGGAAGCAAGTTCTCTCAAGATTCATAAGGGCACTACTGATCCCATTCACGAACGTTCCACCGTCATCACCTCCTCTAATTCTAATCACTTCCCAAAGCTCCCCACCTCCTAATACCATCACAATGGGGGAGATAGGGTCTCAACATGTGAACTTTTGGGGCATACCAACACCCAGTACATAAAAATATATCATTTGGAGTTTATTATACAGTATCACCTTGGGATTCACCATTTCCACGTTTCATATGTAGAATAAAACAGTTTTTTTTCACCATGGGAAACAGTAGTGATTGTGAGCACAGGTTATAGAATAACACTTGAATCAAAATCCCAGATCCAGCATTTACTAGTTCTGTTACCTGGGACAGGTTATCAAACACTTCAAGCCACAGTCTCCTCATCCAACAAAAAAGGGACAATAACAGTTCTCACATGGTTGTGAGGATTACATGAGATATTGCATGTAAAGCACTAACTACAATGCCAGAGACATACTAAAGCGTATCAGTGGGTATTAAAATATATCATTATTATCATTTGCCTAGAGTAATTAGCCATTTTGATGAGAAACAGATTTTCACTGAGCATACTTAAGGAGCAAGTCACTTACCTAGTGAGCCTAGCCATGGCTACCACTTATCACCATACAGAAGAGATAGGGTGTACTGTCCAACTATATGTTGTGGCTCTGAATATGAGTTTGGTGGTTCTCTACCATCTCATGTACATTAATGGAGAAAATTGTTATTTTGGGAATCACAAATTTAGAAATTTGGTGTCATAGACCTCTTCAAGAATCTGATGAAAGCAGAATGAAATCTCTCACAGTCTTACAAAATTAATGTCCCTCTAAAGCAGAAGTTGAGAAACTTTGGCTCGTATGCCAATTCTGACTCGACTCACTATTTTTTTTTAGGTGATAAATATGCAAAACCTATATTCTTTATTTTTTTAAAAAATTCTACTTTAAGTTCTAGGGTACATGTGCACAACGTGCAGGTTTGTTACATAGGTATACATGCGCCATGTTGGTGTGCTGCACCCATTAACTCATCATTTACATTAGGTATTTATCCTAATGCTGTCCCTCCCCCATCTCCCCCACCGCAAAATAGGCCCCTGTGTGTGATGTTCCCCGCGCTGTGTCCAAGTGTTCTCATTATTCAATTCCCACCTGTGAGTGAGAACATGCGGTGTTTGGTTTTCTGTCCTTGTGACAGTCTGCTTAGAATGATGGTTTCCAGCTTCATCCATGTCACTACAAAGGACATGAACTCATCCTTTCTTATGGCTGCATAGTATTCCATCGTGAGTATTTGCCACATTTTCTTAATCCAGTCTATCATTGATAGACATGTGGGTTGGTTCCATGTTTTTGCTATTGTGAATAGTGCCACAATAAACATATACCCAGTAATGGGATGTCTGGGTCAAATGGTATTTCTAGTTCTAGATCCTTCAGGAATCGCCACACTGTCTTTCACAATGTTTGAACTAGTTTACACTCCCACCAACAGTGTAAAAGCGTTCCTATTTCTCCACATCCTCTCTAGCACCTGTTGTTTCCTGACTTTTTAATGATCGCCATTCTAACTGGTGTGAGATGGTATCTCATTGTGGTTTTGATTTGCATTTCTCTGATGACCAGTGATGATGAGCATTTTTTCATGTGTCAGTTGACTGCACAGATGTCTTCTTTTGAGAAGTGTCTGTTCATATCCTTCACCCACTTTTTGATGGGGTTGTTTGTTTTTTTCTTGTAAATATGTTTAAGTTCTTTGTAGATTCTGGATATTAGCCCTTTGTCAGATGGGTAGATTGCAAAGATTTTCTCCCATTCTGTAGGTTTACCTGTTCACTTTGATGGTAGTTTCTTTTGCTGTGCAGAAACTCTTTAGTTTAATTAGATTCCATTTGTCTATTTTGTCTTTTGTTGCCATTGCTTTTGGGGTTTTAGTCATGAAGTCCTTTCCCATGCCTATGTCCTGAATGGTATTGCCTAGGTTATCTTCTAAGGTAAAAGGTTTTAGGTCTAACATTTAAGTCCTTAATCCATCTTGAATTAATTTTTGTATAAGGTGTAAGGAAGGAATCCAGTTTCAGCTTTCTACATATGGCCAGCCAATTTTCCCAGCACCATTTATTAAAAAGGGAATCCTTTCCCCATTT